TGGTTCCAACCATGTTAACACGTGAAAGAAATCGAACAAGAACAAAATATTTATTTCAATGCATTACAACCTTTCAACTGCCTCAGACGAGGATTTGGAACATCCAACCGAGAGGAAGCTGTCTTCTACTTGTGAATAAACGCTTTTGGAAAAGTTCAATGATACATAATAACGAATAAAAGATAAATTAAATGAAGAAAAGCTTGAATTAAATTAGAAAGCTGGAGATTTTTGACAAGTTTTAAAATTTTCAGCAAATTTGTCTCGACGCGATCAGGATTTCTAATATTTTAGAATGGGTTGAGTTAAGGTGGCCTCGGAACAAAACCAGAATAAATTATTGAAAAAACACAAATAAATTGATGAAAAGCTTTAATTTCCTCCTGAAAAAAGCAAAGTTTCTTGATAACACTTCTCAGGAGCAGAAACTGGGCCACACACACTAATAAATCCTGAACAAAAACCAACATGAAAACAAACGAAACATCAGAATGTAAACAGTTCCGTCATTCTGCGTCCAACCTTCCACGTGGAGGTTGACTCACAAGCCGCGTGAAAGGTTGGACGCAGAATAACTTAACCGTGAGTGCTCAGGCATGTGAAAAGTCCTTTCAGGTATGTATATTTAAAACTTCTATTTTTTATTCAAAATTCTAGGCAAGTAAACTTGCGTTGATGAAATATGTGAAGAAACTGGAATTGGCAACATGTATAAAGATAGTCCCGGAATATATGGTGAATCCATGGAGCTATAAAGTTTATTCCAAGCTTTGCCGTGTTTTAGAAATAGAACAAGGATGGGATAAAGCGTACATGTAAGAATTACTGCTTTATGTTATTTTATTTTTTTTTTTTAGATCCCACGTGAAAGGTTGGACTCAAAATGATTCAGAAATAAATAATTGGTATTATTGAAACAATAAAAATTTTGAACAGAATATCTCTTCTATATTTCCCTCCCAATTCACTCTTGCACCAAATTACAAGGATCTTGATTGGTTAACCTTTAATAGAATGTTCCGTCTTTGTATAAGAATGAGCGAAGTAAAAGGATAAAAGCACGAAAATACCCAAAAGATTGTTATGTGTAAGCTCAGACTCGCAGATGGTTGAACAGTCTCCATGTTTCATGTTTCATAATGAAAATGTGTGGAAAGAAGTAGTAGAAATGGAACTAAAGCGAATTGAATACCTACAATGCTATATAGAGAGCAGAGCAAAGGATCGTATGAAAACAATATTTAAGTTACAAAGTAGAATCTATCTAATACTGTACAAAATGGCAAAGGAAAGTGAAACAAGTCATTACTACAACCGAGACAGTTCATATACGTGTCTCGAATATAATTCGCTTCTGATTAAACATACAAACCGTAATCAATGACACAATAATAATAATAATAATTAATTAGGCTAATCTATTACTCATTCTAAACGTCATTTAAAACGTTTCGAAACGATGTACAAACGATGGCGCATCTCGTGCACGGTTTGCCCGTGCACAAGCTGCACTGATCTGCTTATTAATAGCTGAAGGTCCGCAACTGAACACTCCGATATCACTTATCTGTAAGAGTTATGATGTTTTATGATGATTATGTGAATAGTTAACCTCATTATGTCTATTCTGGATGTATTTCAGGAAGACATTGAAGTTTGGCCGTCCGAAATGATTGTGTGCGCGTAAGCCAGTGAACATGGATACACCATGATGGTCACCTCGGAAATGCTTCTCACAAATATACTGCAAAGTTGAAAGTGAGATAGACAAGCGATTCATGATAGCTTACCAGCATTGTTGTACGTAAATCAAATTTGTGGAAGAACTGAGTTACGAAAATGTGGGTTTCCAATAGAGGATGATCGCTATTGGCATCATCATCCTCTACACTCTTCAAGACATCCACGAACCATTCATAGTTCTTGTGTGTTGGACAGATCCACAAGAAATACACTTTCTTACACTTCACGTTGTGATGACGTCCAGATCTGGTTTCAAGAACCAAATCAGTCAAAGTAGACGCATAAGGTGTTACTCCGATACCACCACCGACAAGGATGGCTACCTCGTAGTTCATCCATTCCTGATGAATACTATGTCAAAGGAATAGTCAGTATATTGTTTACCTGGTTACCATCTCCATATGGTCCATTCAAATGTACAAGAGGGTAAGGCGCTCCAGTTGCTTGGCATCTTATAATTTCACTGCGCAATTTCCATGTCCAAGGACCGACAGCCTAACCAAAGATTGACATGATTTTCGAATTTAGTTGTTTCTCTACCTTTATGTACAATTCCAAAGTTGGCACTTGAGGAGCAGAGGCAATAGAGAACGCATGATGTTCATTGAAATTGCAACTGAATGCAGGAGAGGAAATACGAATCCACTGTCCCGATTTGAATTTGAAAGACGAAGGTCGTTTGAATTGTAAATAAATGATATCTAAATGCCAAAAGTCAATAACTTCTTCCATAACACTAGAAGTAACCTGATGGCAATAAAGCTGCATTCAACACTTCAAGCTTCTTGTATTCCTGACGCATTCCAATGATTCGGTCAATTATGAACACGATGATAGGCCCGATAACATAGAACAAGAACTTGGGAGACTGCAATGAAAAATGAATGTGAATTGAAGAGAATTATGGAACGTACATCTAGTAGTTTCGGCAGGCCATGGAGTATGGTCAGAGCATAGAAGGCAATGTTCAATAAGTGAGTTAACCTATAATATGTTCATAAGCTCTTCGAACATCATTCCCAGATATCTTTGAACTCTTAAATTCAAAGCCTACCTGAATGCATGATAAGCTCTTCGAACGAAACAAGGGAGAGCGAAAACATAAATGATGGACATTACAGCCACCAAACAAATCCCAGTCAGTCCCGTTATCGTCCCATAGAACCAATAACTTATAGATGGCAGGAAATTAGATCTGAAGAGTTATTCGTGAATACAAGCTGTGACCCAAAGGATTATACCCGAAAACTGCCTCTTGGAAAAGACACTGTAAACCTTCTTGACTCTGGGTGGCTACGTGATAGAAGTTCACACAATGACCAACTGTGTGCAAGATAGCCCAAAATGCGGCAAAAACAGCAACAATCTGAAGAACAGAGATTAGTCGAACGCAAATAAAATATAACTAACCTTGTGGAAAGCTATGGCTGAATCGAATGGAATGAACTCTCCGATTGGCCATTCACGAACAACAGTAATCACATTTCGGCAAACCGTGAGAAGGATGAGTGCCATGCAGAACGATAGAGCTCCTGAAACCCGTACGGTAAGCATCCGTTAACATGTATTTGAATTACCTGCAGCACCACGTGTGATAGCGATTCCTACACCCATAACTCTACGTAAGTCACGATGCTCAGTCTCATAACGATAATCTGAACGTAAGTTTCATTAAGAGGAACCGCTAAGGATACATACGCCAGAACCGCTCCATGAAGATCATTATATTAACAGCAATGAAGACAAATAATATTGCGATGTGCTGTCTGAAAAAGTACTAGGATTAACCAGATGTGAGCTAACTCTTACCTGTAGGTTTCAACGAAGGCAGCAAAGCGAGCGAAGATACTAAGAGGTATAGCTGTTGAATCAGTAGCAGGTACAGCGAAAGAGTTCAAAGACGCAGTTCTTAAAGGAAAATAATAAAACACAATATCTTCAGACAATAATTCATACTCCTCTAAGTTCACTTTCAACTTGGCTCCACGTAAATCAACTCCGAACGGTCTATGATCTTGAACCTGAGAGAATATAGCCTCGAAATCTTCGAAGGTAATATAATCTGAGGCAGGATGGATTCCAGATCGATAAAGAAGATTCTCAATGAGCAGATTCTGACGTTCTTCATCAATGTTGACACCAGCTACCGAATTAAGAGATTTTATGAAATCAGCGAATTCTCGACGGTTCACACGTCCAGAGTTATCGAGATCACAAAGAGCAAACAGAAGTTCATACTTCTCTCTGAGAGATCCTGAAAACACGTATTAATACTTCCAAATTTCTATGATAAGCCAACCATCTGCGAATTTCTTCAAAACTTCCAAAAATTCAGCGAATGACATTTCTTCCCCATCACTCTTGGAAGTAACCGCAAACATTCGACGAATGAAGAGATCGTTTTCCTTCATTCCCATAGCATGAGCGAGTTCAAACCTAAAAACGTACAGTTTTACAGAAGTTTTGAAAATGGCTCACTTGGTGATAGTTTCATTCAGGATTTCATCAGAGGTTGAATCATGCGACGGAAGAGAAGAATCGCGAAGCTCAGGTCTGTTGAAAGCACGAGCGTAGGCTTCTCGGAAAAAGTTATCCAGGCGTAGTTGACGACGTTCCTGTACATCATTCAAAATAATTTCAAGAACTGTTTAACAAACTTTAGTTTCAGCATGGGCAAGTAAGCTTTGGTTGCTTTCCTGCTTAACTTCGAGTTCGCCTGATTGTTTCTCAACTGATTCCTTTATAGCCAGTATGAATCCAGCTAAATGTCTTTCGGAAGGCAAACGAACAACCTAAAGTACGTGATATAACCAATGCTGACGTGAAACACATACCAAATCATGAGTTTTGGGAACTGTCAGAAGACAGTAAGGGCCAAACATCTGCGAAGAATTCGGCTCACTGTGAGTAATACGAACCTAGAACATAAAATTCAATTAGCTTATATTCTAGACTTTCTTGCACTAACGGTAGAGTTTTTGGCAAATTTAATTTTACGAAGTACTCCTCCTCTTGGTTTTCTCACTACCAAGCATGCACTGTCGATCTCTATGACAACTTGACGTACGAACTCTTCTTGTAACCATTCGAAAGCTTAATTCCCAAAATATTTCAACATATAGAGCAAGAGCAACATACCTTTAACAGAATACTTGTCTTTGGGAGGTTCATCATCGATAGCTGTAATGGATAGTTGGTCACAGGAGCTGTGCCAACCCATATGGGCTCTACGTTGAACAAGAAGATAGCCAATTCCCAGACAAACTAAGATACTGATAAGAATGATTCAATGAAAAACACAACTCACTAAGTGGAATACAGGCTAATCCTATTAATGTGAAAATGTATGTTACTTCGTTACCAGTGAAGTGATCAAATCTCATGAATGGAATACAAGGTTCCAATCCTGAACACTCATGATGTCAACTAATCATAAACTAAAACCGTTACCTGTGTTATTGACTTGATACGGCTGTGGACATGGATCCCCATTTTTCCAGAAGAAAACCTAGTATGGAAAGTATTATAAGATGATGTTTGTGAGTGCTTACATCTTTCTGTAACATGTTCTCCGATATCTCAGTGGTATCCTTGATGATGTCACGCAGGGTGATGTTACGGATTTGAGATATTTCTTCATCCGTAAAAAGACCATTCAAACGGTTTTCAAACCAGAATCTAAAGAACTTAAATTTAAAAACCGAAATAAGCACAATTATAGATCAACCACGCCGATGTGCAGATTCAAATTGATTTTGGAATGCAACTCGTGTGACGTGGAATTTGAAAAATTAGCATACCTGTCCGAGTCACGTAAACGTAAGAACTGATCTTGGATTATGGCTGTAAACAACTCTCCAGGTCCATCATCACTACCCTCCAACATTCCTCCTACATAAGCGTCGAGACTGTTGATATCATTATTATACAAGCGTGCGAGAGAGTTCATCAACTATAACAAGGAACAACGAATAGAGCTACATATTATAATCTATCTAACCTCAGTCTTCTTCGCATAAAACTCAGGGTTAATTGTATCCCACTTCTTGGGCTCTAAGCCAAATGTACGTCGCAGGGTGTTGTAAGGAGGAAGACCATTATCACGACCTCTCATTATAGATGAGCTAACAACATCCAAACGAGTGAAATGCATTGGTCCAAAGATGAAGTCTAGAAAACCATGATTGAGATTAACAGGATGGAAGAAACGGAAACCTCTTAAATCTTCTACTACTATGTTATCATCAGCTTCACAGATCTGACTAGCCATGCCCAGGATAATCTCATCTACAGTGTACTCACGCACAATGTCTTGAGCATTCCACCTGAAATTATTACTTAGCGAATAAATGAGAAACATTAGAATCGTACCAGTTCTGACACAATCTAAGAGCTGGATATCCACCAACTTCTGAGCGAAACTCGCATTTCTCTCCTCTCTTTCTCAATAGCATAGCGGGTGGAACCTGAATATCGAAATATACCACGGTTGAGATAGTGAAGCTTACAATGGAATGAGGGAAACGGAAGGCAGCTGCCGCAAAGGCATGTGAAATACCTGGCGGTACATGAGGCATATACTTTGTATAGTTGGGGATATCTTTTCTTTTTCCTAATAATGCAGGTAAGAAATCGTACATAACAATTTTCTGAACACAATGAATGCATTGAAGAAGTTGAAAAATAGGAAACCTGGAAGGCTGCAATGACCCATCTTCGTGCAGCTTGGAAAACTTCTTCGTCAGTCCAATCAGGATGAGAAGTTTGAATTCTGAAACAGCGATTGAATCATACTAATGCTTTTTAGATATTACCGGTCAGCTTGAATGTTGTGCCACCTATAGAGCACCAGTCCAAAAGCCAGAAGGCCAGGGTTTTCATTCACTCGGGAATCACCCAAGACTAGAGAACATGATTATTGAAGATGACTAAGCTTGAAACTTACTGAACAAACGATCAGGATTCATGAGTCGGTGAATCTGTGGAGGTGGTGGATTGTTCAAAGGAACATGAGGATTGTTGAAAGGTGGATAACTGAGATAATCTTGATTGCAATAATGATAAGCGTTTGATACCCCTTCATGTTTCCTTCATGCAGACGACCATTTTTGAAAGATCGTTGGATAGCGACCCAGGGTTCTTGAGTACTGTAGACAAAGGAAGCATCTATCCATGAAGTTCTGTCGTTAACCTTTGAAAAAAAATAAAATCATGAAATGCAGTTATAAATGTACTTGTTCACGCGGAGAGTTGAAGCCATGACCAGTTTGTTTGTCATACTTGGCACGGGTGAAAGGAATTTCCGTCTTCGCCTCACATTCACTGTCAAACACCTGCAAAGGACAAAGTTTTAGAAAATGATAAGAAGTTACTTACTGGATCGCACTTAGGAACTGGAATCTTCAGAATTTCAAGAGGACAACTGATTTGCGTTGAAGCCATGATTTCGTAAGCGACAACTTGACCTAGAGAAGTTTGTGGTAATAGAGACTGTCTTATTTATAGTTACTCACTGAAAAAAGCCAGCATCGTCGTCATATTCCTCTTGTTTGGTATTCCAGATGGACCTATCAAGTATATGTTTTACATTTTGAAGTGCTATTCAAGAATAAACCTTTAAATACTAAATTTGAAATGGCACGAGCTGAAGGTAAAGACATGTTCATCATGTAAACTCCGTCTTGATAATGAGAGGGAGCATCCCGATGTAAACGGGCGCCTGAAAAAGAAGGAATCGGTTAGCTTTGTAGAGCTGCAAATGGACACACCAGCTGTTCCCCAGTCAGGGTTTGCCAGATTATTAAACCATCCATCATATCTTTGAAACTCTTGTGTTCTTAGTAGTCCTGAAATTAACACAATCAGAAAAGTAAGCTTTCAACTCTCTGTATACGACCGCTCACAACAGAAATTACAACTGAAATGAAACATGTCGTACAGTTGATCATTGTTAGAATTGATTGGAAGCGAAAAGTATTCCGATAAATGGATGTGTTATTGAAAATGAGGTCGAAACTTGGAGCTGGACATGAGCAGCGCATACAGTATCTTTTAAATCTGCGCAGCTTGGTGATGAGATAAAGTAAAATTACCATTTATAGATGTGATTAGAATAAAAGAAATAAATGATATAAAAACGGCTGACGGACGGGTTCGCCAACCCATCACCTCGGCTGAATGGTTAAGCCCTGAAAATCAAAGGAATCAGAATAGAAAGTATAATCAATAACGACGTATGCGATTGAGAAGAAAAAGATTTCATTAGATGATGAAAAGGAGAAATGTCGAATGACAGAAGTGTCCGTATAAGGTAAACAACCTGTTATCTTCATAAGTTCTAACTTGAGCTAATAAACATTTTGTGGAAAGTTCAATTATATGAGAATAGCTATCATGATTCGATATACTCTGATGAAGGATGCGGATTGTGGATGTGCATGAAGGAGAGAGAGACACAGAGACATCATGTTAAAGTGTGGCGAATGATCAAATGTTCTTCTTCATTTCAGTATTCTGTACTTACGAACTAATCGAAGCATGCTTATTGAATGTAGATTGAAACAGAAGAGGTGACAACGAAGAATGTTTGATACAAGCCATTCAGATGAATTACATGAAGCCGAGAAGACCACACAACAACTGTAGCTTTAAGCTGTCATCGGCAACATCACAAGTCATGAACTTGGAGTGGTTAAATGAGCAAAAAAGTGAACTGTTTGGAAGGTAAAAATAGAGAGTAAGAAGAGAGAGAGAGGGAGAGTATGGAAGGAAGAAGGAGAGTAAGACAGAGAGAGAGAGAGAAAGGGAAAATCAGGGAGCAGATTTGTTTGAACGACGAGACTTCGAACAGAGATGATAGTTCTTTTGAAGAACAGCCATTGTGTTAACTTAAGATAAAGAAAGAGAGAGAGACATAGAGAAAGAGAGGGAGAGAGTGAGAGGGAAAATTGAAGAGAGGGAAATTACTGGAAGCTAAGGAAACAATCAGAACTCAAGAGAAACTGAGTCGAAGAGCATGTTCTATACGAGTTGTTCAATTGTATTCTTAGCAAATATCAAATGAATTCATGTCGGCACATCATATTTTAGGAAAGTTGCTCAGAGCACAAGTGTAAAAGGAGCGGATGAGAAACAAGAAAAAGAATCTTTTGAACTGACACAGTCGTATTGACTTAGAATCTGAACTGTTGATGAAAATGAATTGAATGGGTGTGAAGACGCTCATCTTCACCTCAGGCAGTTCTCTCGCAATCAACTAAAAGTCTTTCGGATTATTTTCTGTTTACTAAGCTAACGATCTACGACTGACCCACGAGTGTATCCAAAAAATATATTTTAAAGATTAATTTGATAATCAAATAGAAAAGTCATCAACTGTTGCTGATCTCTGAGAAAGTGGATGTGGCGGGATAAAACAGATAAGTTACATGAGATAGGGTGATGTTAGGTGCGAGAGGATGAAGCTCAAAGGTGGAACTACAAAATTGGATAAAATGGAAGAGAGGCTGTCTATCAAGAGAAATGAATTAATGAGTGAGAAAGAAGAAATGAAATGAGAGGGCGGAGGGTGGGAGGTAAAGAAAACAAAAATCTAACGGACATCAACGAAAAGGTGTAGGTGGGGGTAAAGATGAGATGAATGTGTTTGTTGACGACAAACAACTGAAACGCAACCGTTCTGTCCAATTCATATGAGCAACTTTCTCCAAATATGGACAGAAAGAGAGTAAGAGAGACAACCGTTCAACTCCTACGTTGAAATTAAAAAATGAAAAATTTCACGTGAAAATGAGTAGGTTGAAGGAGTACAGTAAGCGAGAGAGAATGAAGAAAGGCCCTCACAGTTTTTAGTTTTCTTTATTGAAAGGAGACGAATCATAAAAGTTTCAAATGAAAGGAAGATGTTCAGACAATAGTCAAATAAGATTTGAATCACAAAAATATTTATTAGAAAACGATGAATACAGCCGACAGAAGAGACAGAAGCGCGTGTCTCTGTACGAATCTCATCTCAACAAACGTTTTTTGCTTCTTCTTCTTCTGATGCTGCTGCTGCTGTTGCTGGTGTGGCTGTAGCAGCAGCATCAGAGAGGTGTCACACACGTATATGAGAAAGCAGAAAAAGTGTTTGTTGATATTCAAATATTCGTTTTCGAGAGATTCATTAGCCAATAAGGAAATGACGATAGATAGATAATCAATGCGTGTGTCTGTGTGTGTGTTTTTTGAAATTGGAAAAAGAAAATGTTGAGAGGAGAGATCATAAAACTTTTTTTTTGTTCCCCAATGACATTGACGTGTTTTATATAAGGAATGTGTCCTTAATTAGCTACATATTGACTATTCTTCACCTCCACCACCCCAACCACAC